GGAAGACCCGAGAGTGTTGAATCCCCGCGACGGAAGACCCGAGAGTGTTGAATCCCACGACGGAAGACCCGAGAGTATTGAATTCCGGCGACGGAAGACCCGAGAGTGTTGCATCCCAACTAAGATTCAACGGGTCCGGCCACGGAACCCCCAACAAGTGTTGAATCCCACCTGGGATTGATGAGGCCAAGATTCACGAAGCTAATGCCACATGTTGCGTGGCTTGAAAGTGCATGCCTCAACTGAGCATGCAACCTGTGAACTCTTGCCATGCAGCTACAGCTTTCGTCACCTCCCTCCGGGTCTCAAGTCCCCGCGGGCTAGCCATTGCCCGACAGCGTCGGACATGACTGTCGGCTCAAACCGCGGTTTGGTTGTCACCCGGCCTAACCTGTCTATGGCATTTTCTCAGAATTATACGGAGCAGTGAAACCCATGGCAACCCAGTCGGCCAATTTATTTCAGTAGCCTCCTCCACACCATCCAAGCAAGGAATGCAGCGCCATGTCCTTCAGCATCGTAAAAGTGTACGCCCGATCCCAGCTGTTTTGGAAACAACCAGGCAAACTGCGACAAGCAAGACAAAGGCAAGTAGTTGATGTTGCCTACGAAAATTCGGGCCCACCTGTAATCGTGTCCGCTTTGGATTCACGTCATTTCAGCGGTATGCTGTTGTGGATGAGGAACATTCCCTAGCACGCGCAGTGGTGACCGCGTGTAGCTGGGACCGCATTTCGTTTTCCAAGAATTGCACCATCTGGAAATAGAAATCGCAAGCGCTTCGCGGCTTTCACTCCGAGACCGCAAGGCGAGTGCCCATCAGCAAAAGAGACCTTCGTGCGTGCATGCAAAAGAATGTTAGCTGACCTCGCCTGCATGGTCGTGTGGCATGCATCCACGATGTTTTAATCAAACAGAACAGTTACCATAACTGCCGGATGCATGTGACCAATTGGTCACAGTGTCTTTGTGGGGGTGTTGCCATTTGCCTTTCGCTTTTCCTTCTGCTGTTGTCTTTCCGCCTGCTTGCCACCCCGCTTCCGACTCTCGATCTCAGTGCTTTTTTTGCCTGTGAATCGTTCGATCTCTTTGCCTGTTTGCGCTCTAATTTCCTGCGTTTGCAGCCTTGCCCTCCTCTGACTCGATGATACCGGCAACGACACCCAGGCTGCTACTTCCTTTTCGACCAAGAAGACAGCGCTGATAAGTTCATCAAGGCCACAAAGCAAAACAAGACGGGTTCGGGTTTGCTTTGCTTCGAGTGCGTGGCATGCTGTTGACGTACCGAGGATTACCATGGACATCAATTCGTAGACGGGCAAGGGGAAAGCTTTCGTGCTGTCGCTTGCTTTGCTCCGTATGCCAAAGCTGCAGCCTTAGATTTTGGACAAGTTTGTATAGTCCACACAGAGACTGGGATTCATGAGCTGCCGGGAAATCTGCACTGCACTGGCAGGGTATCGGCACGACATGGCACGATAAGCTATGTACGCTTGCTGCAATCTATGGCATTCAGACGAAGACAAGGTTCCCCGCCAGAAGGTGACGAAGGTGCTCTGGGCGAAAAACGCTTTGTCTGGTTCGGGTGGTCTGTGAATGTGACAAACAGGATGCCCGCGACGGAACTATCTTTGAAGACGCTACCTACAAGCAGTGTTTGGCTCAGCGACCTTTGTTGTTGCCACGGCCACGGCTTCCCTTGATGTTGGCCCTTGATGTTGGAAGGTTTTTGGACGGTTTGGCAGTCCCAAAGGCATTCGAGGCGGAGATTGTTGCACGTGAAGCATTGAAAGACATAATTTGCAGTCTGTAGGCTCCGCCAGATCCAGTTTCGGAGCTGCAACCTTCGAGCAAGAAGGTGGGCAAACGACTCCGGAGGAATCCGTAGAATTTTTCTTGCTGATGGCAGGACACCCCATTGTTAAATTACATGAAGACCAGGCCTGTTGCGTTGTGCTCCCAGCCTCGGCCTCGTCATTAAACGGACATGGCGGCAGGGCTGCTGAGAGAAGAGCTCGTCAAGAGAAGCGCCTCTCTGCTGCAAAATTGTGGCAGTTTGGGTGATGTTATCGGCAGTTATGGGCTCTATGGACGGCTCTATCCGGTGCTAGTTGAATGAAGTTGCTTCGGTTTCAACCTGAGACTCCCTTGAACAAAATCTGCCAGTGCTACCTACATTGAGGAATGTTGACCACTTAACAAGCCGCCGAGTCTAGGTGAAAGAGAGCGCAAGCGATGGCGTCCTGCACTGAGCTTTAAGCACACGCTGTCACGTAGTGTCGCATCCTCGAAAAGCTTGGCCGTGTTGGTTGAAGTGTTCTGCAATTTTAGATTGCTTTCCGCCAGACGACCGACTTGGTCGAATAGACGAGAAGCCCCGATGGCGGTGTGCGGAGCCCACTTCTCAGTACGGAGGGCCAGAGTGCCATTAGTTCATGTATTTACTGGGTGTTGTGGGACTCTGACGTTCCATGAATGCGAGCACAAACTAGTCACGCCCTCCTAGAAGCCTGCAGCGCCTTGGTCATTCTCAGTCTTGCTTGTGCCTCCAGTGGTTGGGCTGTTGTAAATCGGCTAGTGTTTTCCGCATATTCTGCATTGCAAGTCAAGTGTGCAAAGAATTGTTCATTGGGATTTCGATGCTCTTTGCTTCAATCGAAGGTGCGGCACCGTGAAGCACTTAGAAGAAGACCCAGATTCGAGAGGCGATAGCTGATCTCCACCCCGGTATGCGCTGATTCGTTGGCTTCCACAGGAACCTTCTACTGCACCTACTGCTGGGAGATTTGGGAAGCTCAGGCAAGCAGCCTGTTCGATCTCTCCTGTTGCCGACTGTCTTGACGGCGCGCAGTGGCAAGGAGTACAAGCAAAAGAAGAAAAAAAAGAAGTCAAAGAAGGCCGAGGCGCGATTGCACCAAAGGTAGAGCATATGCAGCAGCAAGCGGCAAGATGTGTGACATGCGCATAGGAATATGCAGAAGCAGAGGAAGAAGAGGAGGATTGGTACGAGGAGTGGCGACGTTCGCTTGAAAGCCTCACCTCAACCTCAGCTGAACCTGCACACTCATACGAAACCTTTCTGTATGCAGCACGCCTGATCAAGCTTGCGGGCATGCGAGTTTAGCAGGCAGCGATTGTTTCGTGTTCAAGCAGCAGAAATCCTGTAGCATTTGTCATTACATGTGACCTCGTCTTCTGTGAATAAGGAGCCAAGCAGCAAAAAGAAAAAGAAGAAGAAGAAGCATGAAGCGTATGAAGAAGAATGGCACGACCATGCCAGGTGCCGGGAGTTGTCAGCTAAGACACGGTCTTTTGCTTCAACATGTCAGATGTCTGTGCATATCCAGAGCAAGTGGTAAAGCAAAGCATGTTGATTTCGCCACCACCCTGCAGTGGCTGGCACAGTTCGGAGCAAGGAGAAACTTGGATGCAGCACGACACTTTGGTGATCAAGAGTGATCGCTGCGAGCTACTGAGGATGACTGGGCCTGGTACGAATCAGAAGCCTCCCAGGAACTTCGCCCGTGTTTGTCAGCCTGAGACAGCAAGCTGGTGCACTTACAGACTGTTGCAGTGCCAGGAGCCCAAGAAAAAGAAGAAGAAAAAGAAATCGAAGGCACTTCTGTGACCTCCAGCGCTGCTGCAGTGTCCCAACACCTTTCAGCAGGACGAGGATGAGTATGGTGCTTGCCACTGGCACGAAGAGGCCATGCGAGCACATCGCACCGACATCCATGGATGCGCGCAGTCTATCTTGGAGGACTACTGGGGCGAGCAGGAGGGCAAAACAAAACCTAAGAGGTGGCTTCGGTGCGATTGCATGGTGCTGCTTTCACAATTGGGGTTCATGTTGAGGTCAAAAGCCAAAGAGTCCGAAGAGTGGTGGGAAGAGTCGCGGGGGCCCCATGCCTGGCTGGGCAAAACAAAAGTCGTTTGAAGCTTTGCCAAAACATCTACAAAAACATGTCTGTTTGCTTGGTTCATGTGTGAGACTGGCAAACAGCATCAGTGGCATGATGTTGTATTCGTTTCTGATGCGTGACAAGCTCAACTCAGGTCCAAGCCCAAGGAAACTTCTTCCAAGCGCAGGCTGGAAGCAAAACATGGACAGATTCTGTTCAACATGCGGAAACGACCTCGATGCCCCCAACACTTTGATTGCAGTCCCCGGTGCAACATGCATCAGGTCTCAAGGCAAGTGGAGAGAAAAGGAAGAACAGAAGGCCAACGTTCTTCCACTCTGCACATCTCTGCACGGCACTTGCTGTGCCCTGGAAACTGAACCCATCACAGGAGCCCGAGAAGTCTCGGCGAAGGACACCGGCGATGGGTCAGAGTTTCAGTATCCTGCGTGGCGTTGTGAAGCTTCGTAGTCCTCGCTTGCTTGCTGAGTTTGTGCTATTTGTATTCGAGACAGAACCTGCCAGGAGAGAGAAGGATGACAGCACCCAGTGGGTTCCAAAGCTGCTGACTCAATCAAAGACGAGGGGCTTGTCGATCACAGCTTATGCTCCACAGTCTGTTGCTTTGCTGCCTCCTTCATATGTCGCTAGCACGCACGCTGTCTTCTCGGCAGACGGACCTGCACAGGGGGCCGTGATTCGGCGAACGGTTCCTCGAGCCGAGGGCTCCTTGGGGTTCAGAGGAACTCCAGCGCGCAGTCCTGTCTTCGAGAACTGGAAACGGCCAGGCATTGGCCGGAAGTTAGTCAGGACTTCCTTTCGAAATTGGCGCCTTAGTGGGCAACGACTGCTAGCCAAGTGTTTTTCCGGATCAGCGAAGACGGGGGTCAGGAGGAGCAGAAACTGCCGTGTCACGCCCACGCCATTCCTGTTTCAATCAGACACAACTGATTGAAGCCGTCGACGAGAAACCGTAAATGTTCAAAGGATCCGCCTTCCAGAACCTGTACAACCCCCGCCAGTGCTGACCACAGGCTCAGGCTAAGATTGGCTGTGTGCCGCCGAGGGCACGAGCCGAACTGTTTGATTTTTCTTCTTCCTTACATTCTGCTCAGATTTGTCACAATCCCACACCCTGCTGTCTAGGTGGCTTATACATGTGCACACGCGCAAAAACCGCACCTTGCACCTTAAGCTGAATGCGCAAGCACAAGCTATTTTGGGATTTACCGTATGAACAGTGGTGCCACGCAGTGTTTAAAAGGATGCATGCAAGGACACCACTACTGGGCACGTGCAAAATTCGGCCGCTCCCAGTTGGAGGTTCGGCCTGTCAAGACCGTTATGGCGCAATTAATGAGCAGCAGCAGGGTTACAGTCTGCAGATACAGGCAGGATTCTATATTCTATATTCCATTGCAGGGCCTGGCGGCCCGGGCCAACATAACCGACGGGACACGAACTCTAAGCCTGAGCCCTAAGCCATACGTGCTCCGCACTCTCCGCGCAGACGTGCATGTGCACACACAAAAACACTTCGAACTCTGAGCCTGAGCCCTAAAACAGGCTTGCTCCGCACTCCTCGCGCGCGCGATCGCAGTACGCAAGCATCAGCAGCATCAATGTCGCCGTTGGGGTTTCCTTTCCCTTGCCTAGCGGCCTTTGAGACCGCCTAGGGGCGACCCCAGAGCCACGTGCCGGAGTGACTTCCAAAACGTTAAACAGGGTTAAGACAAAAACACTGAACCTGATAGGACCCACGAACCCGAATGCGGTTACGCCTCCCAAGAATATGCATAACAGCCTGACATCTCTCCTCTCCTCTCCTCTCCTCTCCTCTCCTCTCCTCTCCTCTCCCCTCCTCTCCTCTCCTCTCCTCTCCTCTCCTCTCCTCTCCTCTCCCCT